CCTCCTTCTTTTTCTTTTCCTTCTCTCCTCTCGGGGTGTTAACAACCCCCGAGGTACTCGCCGGCACCTCCACCACCTCCTTTTCTTTCTCCTTCTCCTCCTCCAAAGTCAATTTCTTTTTGTTTTTCTTCTTCCACTTCTTCTTCCTCTTATTTTTTGTAATGGTTTTGTTGTTGCTGTTTGCAGCAGCAGCACCTCCACCACCACTCAAAATAGCTGAAAAAAAAAGGTTGGATACTTGCTTTTTCTGACAAAATACTTACAAGGATGGGCCTGAGCCCAAAAATCCACCAATTTTTTCAATTCTTCAGGAGAACTAGCCTCCAATGTGAATTTAAACATTTCGATTAGTTCTGCAAAAAGAAAAATTTAGAGGAAGAAAAAGCATACAAATAAAAAGCTTAAGTCTGAGCCGTTCGATGAATCGGCAGATTTTCCCTTTCTCGTCAGAATACTTAAATAACTGACGGTCAACCGAGGGCTTTTACGGCATGCCTCGGGGGCTGGGAAATTGTGTTAGGACCTACACAAATAGCCCCTTGCCAACGAGATTTTAGCAACCCGGCTACCATCAATAGTTAAATTGTGGATGCTAGGCCGTTCCCAGGCTTGTCCTTTAGGGGGCAATCTCGCTCAAGCCCGTGCGCGTCGGTAGTTAGCCGACGAGGCATTTGGCTACCTTAAGAGAGTCATAGTTACTCCCGCCGTTTACCCGCGCTTAATCAAGTTTCCTTGGCTTAACATTCAGAGCACTGGGCAGAAATCAGACACGGTCAACGTCCTGCAAAGACCATCCGTCTCCTCTGTTTTAATTAGACAGTCGGATTCCCGGAGTTCGTGCCAGTTCTAAACTGGTTGTTCAGCGCCAATCGAAGTACTATATCTTGCGAAATAGTACGCAGCTGAAGCGCTCCACAAGCAGTCCTCACTACTAGTCCACAAGCGCCGCCCCGAAGGGAAGATCAAGCAGCCACGAGCAAAGTCCACCTGTTTCACACAACAGCCCGACTGACCCAACCTTTAGAGCCAATTCTTTTCCCGAAGTTACGAATCTAATTTGCCGACTTCCCTTACCTACATTATTCTATCGACTAGAGGCTGTTCACCTTGGAGACCTGCTGCGGATATGGGTACGATCAGGCTGGAGATTTTAAATTGCCTCCCTCGTATTTTCACGGCTCATGTGGAGCACACGGGACACAACAGGAACCGCTGCGCTTTACGAGACCAGCATCCCTATCTCAGGCTGAGCCACTTCCAGGGACATGATCTCTAAACCAGAAAAGAGAACTCTGGCCCGGACTCCACACGAGGTCTACGAGTTCGTTTGCGTCACCGCGCAAAGTAATCCTTGCGGATCACCATCTCCCATGCCTGGTGTGGGAATATTAACCCACTTCCCTTTCGGCAACCGAGTAGACAATATACCGTTAAGTATCTCATCTCCCCGCAGTGTCTAGACGGCTTTAGCCGGTGCCTTAGGATCGACTGACCCACATTCAACTACTGTTCACGTGGAACCCTTCTCCACTTCAGTCTTCAAGGATCTCACTTGAATATTTGCTACACCACCAAGATCTGCACTAGTGGAAGCTCCAGCTGGGTGCACACCCAAAGCCTTCATTGCAACCACTACGACCCTCTTACACGTCATTGCAAGACTTTTCACGGAAAATACAAGCATATGACGGCAGAGTATAGGTGGCCCGCTCCAGCGCCATCCATTTTCAGGGCTAGTTGATTCGGCAGGTGAGTTGTTACACACTCCTTAGCGGATTCCGATCATTCAAGCGAAAACGCCTGTTTGAAGCACTCTGATTTGTTCAAAGTAAACTTGCAATGACTGTTAAAAATCCTGTTAAGGACTCAAAACCGAACATTACGATAAATCGATAACACCCAGAAACACCCGAAGGGTTCCAAGGTACCGATACGAATCCAACTACGAGCTTTTTAACCGCAGCAATAATTCTATGTATTAGCAGAGCTGGAATTACCGCGGCTGCTGGCACCAGACTTGCCCTCTGCTTGATACTCGTTAAAGGGTTTAAATTGTACCCATTCCGATGACCGGCCTCAAAGAGAACAGTCTCGTTATTTCTCGTCACTACCTCCTCGAGCCGAGAGTGGGTAATTTGCGCGCCTGCTGCCATCCTTAGACGTAGTGGCCATTTCTCAGGCCCCTTCTCCGGAGTCGAACCCTGATCCTCCGTTATCCGTCACCACCACGGGAGTCGATTATGCTCCCGTCAAGTTGATAAAGTGGACGCTTGAAAGACACGCCGCCGGCACAAGGCCATGCGGTCAGCTTAGTTATTCTGAGTCAACAAGAAGCAGCCGAAGCCGCGTGGTTTTGTTCTAATAAATGCGCTTTTCCGAGAGGACAAAGCTCTGGTGCATGTATTAGCTCTAGCTTTTCCACAGTTATCCATTTAGATAATCAAGATCAAGTAAATCATGGCCATTGTAATGAGCCGTTCGCGGTTTCTCGTTAAAACGA